GAATGTCTCTCCTACTACAAAGGAAGACACAAGTGGAAGATAAATGTAAACCTGGCACAGAGCTGTTTATCACTTTTCAAAAGGCAGATTAAAGCTACCAGCAGGAGGATTATCAATAACAGGAAGGCAGCTGGAAGAAATAGAGGATCCAGTTTATCATATGCAGCAGCACATGTATTTTATTCCTTTTCCTCAGGCCAACATCAGCAGGGGATGCAGTGCTTAAAAATTAGCACTTGATTGGCTGTTTGGGGAACACGGCACATAAGAGTTAATGGACTTTGCATAGCAAACACATGGAGAATATAAAAAAATGTTTCTAGCCACTGGAGAAAAAAAATTTCTCCTCCAGATAAACTCAGATCCAAAAATCTGGTCTGTCAGCCTTTTTCTTGTTTTATATGCTCTGAAGCAAATACATTTTCACATTGCCTGATTTTTGGCAACTTCATCACTACTTTAGCTCCTAAATGAGCTAGTTTTATATGCTATTTTAGATTTTTTATTTCTCTTGTTGGAAATTAATTAGATTCTTTACCATCTGCTGTGTGAGTGCACCTAGTCTCACTGTACGGGCAATAAAATACGTTTGGTCGTGCAGTATTGCAGACTTCAGAACAGGAAGATGTGTTAAGTCTTGAGAATGCTGGAAGAGAAATTTGTGTGTATATCCTTGTGTACATTGCCCAAAACACTTGTCTCAGATTTTACCAGATTAGTCTCTGATGCTTCATTTTTATTTTCCTTCACTTACCTGCATCTCCTTGCTCCGTGCCCACTTCACTGATCCTACCTACTTTCTAGCCTGCCCATGGTAGCTGTCATGCTTGCCACAGAGAAGCTGGACAACTGCTCATTATTTGGCCAGTTCTAAAGGAAGTGTTCAAAACAGCGATGGACCTACCTGATCTCCCCAAATACAGCTCCTGCTCTTAGTGTAACAAGGACTTTTGTACCGTCAGGGCCTCCAAGGACTTGAACTTCACCCTGTTTGATGATGTACATCTCTCTGCCGATCTCTCCCTGGACATGCAAACACATAAAGATCCCATGTTTTAGCAGGGCGGTGGGGTTTTTTTGTGAGAATAATATGACAGACTTTTCTTGCAATATCTTTCCCCTCTCTTATAAACAAGTTTACCTGTATTATGGAGAAATAAATATTTGTGCTGCTTTTCCTAGCACTGTGCACAAGCACAAGAACTGACTTTGGCAGTTCTATTTGTGACATGGGACAATATTTGAACAGACTGTCTAGGTCAACTCGGAAAAAGAAGACCACATAATAATCAGGATTGTCATTGATTGCTAGTCATTTTCATCAACTCTTCTGGTGGAAACTAAATTACCACAGTAGTCTTTTTAATAACAGAGTAAAAGCAAGCCCTTTAAAAGTGCAAAAAAGGCCATGCTTCATGGTCTAAAACGCTTCAGTTTTTACACTACTACTTCTAATCATCACTTACTTATCTAAATTAAAAGGAAAATAAGAATAAATAATCATTCAGAACTTTGTCAACTTTCATATAGTCACTGGATGATTTAAAAGGTTAGTGGGTTATTTATTATCCTCCACATGATCTACTAGAATTCAGAAGTGTGGCATCAATGTATACAGTAAAAAACAAGCAATCTGGAGCAATATAATGGACTTCACAAACATGATCATAAAAGTCCTCCCAACGTCTCAGTAAGGCAGGCAAACATCTATTTTTCCAATAGTGCAGCTGGAGTAGTGAGGCAGCAATTTCATTTTAGAAGTGAAAAAGCAACAGGACTGAAAACGTGGGGCTTGCACTTCCTGTCCTTTCACTTGTTCCTCCAAGCCTGCATGCAGAGTCTCCTCAATCAGGTGTCATGAGGTCAATACATCCAAGCTGGAGGTAGTTCCAGCAGGGTTTTATCCCATACCACATGTTACAGCATTAAGAGGATTACCATGTTTGTTGGCCCCATAGTAGATCTATGCAAGTGAGAGACCTTTTAGCTCTGAATCGAGGTCGAATAAATGGATGCTTTAATTTCTCAAAATCCGTTCTTGTTGAGAGCTGTTTGAATCTGGTTGCAGTGTTAAGACCTTGAATCTGGCACTGTCATTTATTGCCACTGTTGTGACAGAGTCCCAGCCACGGTCTAAGATCCTCTCATTCTGTGCATTGTACAAGCAAACACACCAAACTATTCTTTTCTCCTTCCTAGCCAACAGTAATCTTGGGATTGATCTTTGAAGGAACACACCTACTCTTTTAGTGTATTCACAAATGTGTGACTTCCTATGCTGTGGAGTCAAAGGGACTAACTCAGCAGCTGGGAAGAGGAACATATGCTTAGCTCCTAGGAGGAAGAAGGCCTTGAGTGAACATGCTGCACTACAACTGCTAAAGACAAGTTAAGGGGTTCTGATGGTCACTTCTGGGTGTGGTGTGATCGGTGGGTCACTTGCTAGAACAGTAACCATACTGATACTTCAACCTCTCTATGCTTTAATTACATCCTGCCCTCCTATGAGGGTGTTTACATACCTTCTGAAAAGACACTTGGGCTCACTTGGTCAGAAACTGTGCTACATACCTGTGTTACTGTATGTAAAATATAAATATATATATACTGTAAAATGCTAATAGAAGATAGAAGTCTTTGCTAGGGGACAGTCTGACAGCATTCAGCTGGATGTCTAGAGATGCCTCAGAGCTGTGAGTGAAGGCAGAACAAGGTCAGATCCTGCTGTAAGGAGTGGTATGGGATGCAGTATATTTTTTACATTCTTGGGTAATTCCACCTAAGAGTTTTTGAATACACAAACAAAGCACATGCCAAGCATTATAGATTGAGGCCTGTAGGCTAGGTTTGTATGTATATATGTATAAAAAATAATTAAGCTTGCTCCATTTCAAATATTAAAACTTCATCATGTATCATTAGATAAGCCATATTTACATTAAATGCTTTCCCATATTACTATAATTTTGTTTGATAGTATAAGTAATAAAATCCATATTGTCTTGTTCTAGATAGAAATTTGAGAGCACATTTGTTATTGTTACACAGAGTACCTTAATTATTTTTATGCTATCTAATTCACCCAGGATTCATTTTATTTAAAGGATACTTGACTGATATCTGAACTCTTTTTCTAAAGTATATTATAAATTTATTCTTTGAAAGGGACAACAATGCTCACCTTTTTGCAGACGAAGTCGCCAGGTAAATACACAATGGATTTCAACCTTAGCAGCATGTCATATATCATCTGGGTATCGCAACCCTGTTAAAATAGTTAGAATTGATTGCTCTATTAATTCAGTAGCACAAGTGTCTATTAATATTTACAATAGGCAGCAAAACCCAACGATACATGAACGATCCATGGATTCATAAGTGGAATGCAAACTCAAAACATCATAAGGATCAGGTTTTAACACAGAGAAAAGCCTGGAAAGAGCTGTCAATTCAAATACTTATAAAGTTCTCCTTGGGCTGAACATCTCTTCTTTTTTTTTTTTTTTTTCAAAGTAAGCTTCTATACATCTAAATTTGCTGTGGAAGCTCAGTGAAGAGCTATGTTCAGAGCTTTATGAGTCTTTTCTGAGATTTTTTTTTTTTTTTCTGATCCAGGGGAAAAAAAAGATCATGTCAAATATTGGTATGAATCTGTGAGTTCCATGACTTCAACAAATGTGGCAGAAACTGTGCAGCTCTTTCATGTTTATATAGAGATATCATGTGTTTTCTTGCAATTATCCTAACAAATTAGTGTTAAGGTTACTACATGTCAAGGCTACTCCTAAAAATACAGTATCTCCTCATTTTTGGTGTCAGAAGTATAAAGTACCATGTTTAAATTGTATCTCTGGAAACCTATCATGATAATAAAGAGAAAGCTGCTTTCCACATATTCCTTGGCTACATCAGAGTTTTGTTGCCAGAACACACAGCATTTGTGAACTCAGCAAGGTGAACTCTGTAAAAATTACATTCTTCTGTGTCTAACTCCTGAGATTCTGTCTACTCTGAAATCACTTGCAGTCTGACCATGACATCAGCTTAAGTATGTCAATATAGCAGGACTGTGTCTTAATCTCATTTGCTTTTTATTAGAACTCTGCTCTGACACAAAAATTCAAAGGTTGGCACTTGGCTTTGTCCTGACATATCTCTATTCACTGAGATATTTCTTAGACCTATTTTGCCTTGCATCTTAACAGACGTGTTCTCAAGTGTTACAAGATGTACGAAACAAGGTTTCTGTCTCAGGAGTACCACACATTTCTGCATTGTCTGATAAAACTACTTGCTTTGAATAAGTCAACTTTATTGACGATGGCAAAGTTCACATCAATTGCAATGGCTAATTGCATTTTGAGTGGCATCTGCTCCAGTAATTCTGATTCATCTGTAAAAGAAAAAAACAAAGAAAAAAAGAAAACTCTGTTAGAAAATATAAAAGAATGAATTAAAAATTGTCCATTAAAATGAGCATTGTACAGAAAAATAACTTAATGAAGCTATTCTAGCATTTATGAGTTCAAATGAGGAAGTTGCTAACATGCATTTACTAAGATGCTGTCTCTTAAGTTACATATCTTGTCTAAAGTTATAACCAGAACATTATATAAATGAATTGAATTTATGAAGGAGTAAATGTTATATTGCTTTGGAGTTTTTTTCTTTTCTGAAGTAAATTGAATACTCTCACGTGCAACTGAGAAAAGGAGAAATGTGAGTATCTCCCTATATCTGTACAACCACTCTCACTTGGAGTTGCTCTGGAACTGGAACTGAACTGGAAAGCCTTACCCAGCATTCCCTGAGAGTCCCATGTGTACTCATACCAGGTTCGAACACGATTTTGGACCACTTTTGGAATAGAGTATGTGTTCATATAGGAGACAGTGTTGTCCATACAGGATCGGTAGTAGTTCTGTCCTGCTGTAGCTGCTCCAATTACATCTCTCATCTGCAAACATCAGTTGTTACTACACATTTCATCAAAAATAGTCTTCATTTGAATATCTTGTCAACAACATATAAAAAGAATAAAACACCTGTTTGCAAAATCACTGATTAAGGTTATGCTCAGCTGCATAATTTGAATAGGTGCCTCATCTGCTTTTTCAGAAGCATTCCAGATTTAATCTAATTGTGTTGGAACGTCTATGTTTATGATTTTAACAAAATCATTTGTAGGTCTGGGCTTATTCTTCTGTCTTATATTTCTGGACATGGATGAAAATTGTAATTAAAATATCCATAAGAAAGCTACTCAGCATTTGGTGTGCTGTGCAAGTCAGAAGTGAAGCGAACCAGACTAAATATTTCTAACAACATCAGATGACATCACTAGAATTAAGATCCTGCCACAGTTTAAATAGTTAAGAAAACCTGTATCAGTCTTAAAAATGTACTTTTAGCTGAGAGATGGCCTTGAAGGTTTTTGTGCAGGAGCATCATTTAATATGCCAATACAATGTAATTTAGATTTTAGAAATTGGGTGATTTCATGTTCATAGATCGTCCTCCTTCAAAAGCATAACTATATTCACATGTTTTTAGTAGAATGGCTTCATATTGCAGTGGCCAAGGATTAGTGTGCCAGAGGGCTGAATCCTGCTTTCTGCTACAGAGATCAAATGATTGCAATAGGAACAACAATTTTTAGGCAAGTGCACTAAACTGGGAGTAACTCAGTAATTTTAAGAGCTGTTTCAAAACAGGATTTATAACAAACTGCAGAGAAGTTGTGTGTTAAGACTTAAGGTTTATGTCTGCAAATGACTATACTGGTTATGAAAACTCTGCAGAATCTTCTTGGGGAATCATGCTTTCTTTCACAGTTATATCGACTTAGGAAAAACAAAATATAAATATGCAAACTGTCACGTTTAATCCAATGTACTTGAATTCAATAGTTTTCCTAAAGAAATATTTTATATGAACTACTTTGTTTTGGGTTTTGTATTACTTGTTTGTGGATGAATTTTAAATCCTATATAGACAAGAGTCTGTTCTGTGATGGGTATCTCCTCTTGCTCTTCTACAAACAGCAAGAGATATATACAATTTATAACTGTTTGAATTAATGTTTCAAATCCTGTATCCGAAATAAAAATTAAATTTTTGTTTTCATCTTTATTTCTTCATAGTAATTCTTCCAATAACATGCATGGACAAATCCAAAAGTCTAGAATGACTTCTACAGGAATCTGATAAGACATAGTCTCACACAGGAACCATGGCATTTGTTTTTCTGTAGGCAAGGTATTTTAAAACCTGTGTATCTGAAGCCCAAGTTTAACAGTTACATGCTAGAAATATTTCAGTCATATTCATTTGGAAATATAACTGATATTCTGTGCTATGAGCTTTTTTATTTTACTCCTGCCAAATGAGAACCAACAGAAACAGAAAATTCAGGTTAACAAATACTTTGTAATTTATGGGAGAGAGCAGAATTCTCTCTTTGCCCTGAACTGAGCAAAAATAATGGGATTTCCATTACTAGGATTTTACTGACAGGAGTATTGAGTGTGACTTATTCAATAATTTGTATATATTAATATCATACCTACAGTTATTACTTTTATGTCAGGCTTAACAGGATAATGTGAATATCAAGGAACAGTGTCCTTGACTGTGAAGAAGAAAAGAGGAATTATGCATAGTTTCAAGAGTTATCCATGTCCCACAGAGTCTTGCCTTTAAATCAGCTTATCCAGAAAAGGGCTATGAAACTGGGAACTGATTAAACACATGTATTTGTCAGAAGAATAAGTACGGATGACAGTTAAATAGAGGGACATTCAGATGGAAGAGAAACTTTCTCCTAGAACTAGACTCCATTAAATGTAATATATTATTACATTATTGTAATTTGAACATATGTAGTTATTGAATTTTTGATGTACCTGACCAATTAAGCTGGAGAAGACAAAGACACCCAAGAAAAAATTCAGCAGTTGAAAAATTATCTCGAACAGAGTTTGTGGTTCTGGAAGGCCACCGATGGTGATTAAAGTACGAACTGCCCAGTAGTAACACCTCAGATACCTGTGGACATAGACAGCATTTTTGTAACTGGCTGTAGAGACTGAGGTGGTTGTAGTTAAGTGTATACCTACCTGAGCTGGGCCTTTCAGTGATGCTGTTCAGTACAAAGCATTTTTTATACAGGGTTATGATTTTACAAATTATGGTAATGTCAATCATACTGGGCCAAACATTCTCACTGAGAGCAGAATAAGAATATGAGGGAAATGCAGCAGTGACTGTTCTCCAGTAACTCTGTGCAGCACTACAGAAGACTTCTGTAACAAAATGCCTTACGGTGGGCTCAGCAAATGCAGTGGTGTTGTTCTCATGTCTGTTCACATTCCTGCCCCTTTAACCACATTAGTCTTCTTCCCACTGTGCTTCTGAGCAGCTTTCACTGGCTCTGCCTCTGGGTTATGTCAAACACAAGTTATGTTTCCACAAGCTGTGTGTTAATCTAACTTCTCCAAGCCACTTCATTTCAGGTGTACATTTTAATTTGGTGGCCCCCACTTTAAAAGTCTTCTTGTATTAAGATATGAACTCCACTCCTATTAATAAATGGTCTATGTAACAATTCAATTGGAGCATCAGTTTTGTGCAATTATGGGAAAATAAACTCACAATAACAATTAATTCCAATGAAGGTTTTTTTTTTTTTTTTTTTTTTTTTTTTTTTTTATTAAACCACTCAAAACTGTTTCCAAGTCTTTCACCTAAAATTTCAGGCTTTAACAAGTTATTGATTTTTGTTTTTTCATTATAAAGTCACTGTTTTCTTGGTTGCAGACTAATGAAATGCAGTAACAATGATTTTTTTTTTCTAAATATTGTTTTTCCATGTTAGAGCTGCAAAATGAACAGCTGGATTACACCACTAAAATATTTTCACTTGGGTTCACAAAAAAATCATCGCTTATGCATACTTCTGGCAAAGTGGCAACTTTCTCTTAGACTACTGTAGCATTAATAAATGCTAAGAAAAAGCCTCAGATCTACTTTGGAAGAATTGCAGATTTAAGCATAAAATGATGTCTCTTAACTTGTCTGAGTCAAATTATCATATAAAGCATATTAATATCATAATCATTTGTCATAACTAAGAATGCTGTAGTGTTTGAAACATATAATTTATTCATAGATAATATTAAAAATAAAGAAATTAACATTACTTCTGTGCTAGTTACTATAGGAATCAAAAATAATTAAACAACTCCCTCACCCCCAATGGCCTTGGATGCCAAGCTTCCTAAATCCACCATGATAGACAATATAATCTTCATTCTGGGAAAGTCTACAAAGAATGAAAGCAGCTCCTCAAAGGAATTTATTGGTCACATTCTTTGCAGTGCTGTATATGCAAAATGTGAGTGTTTTGTTTTTTTTTTTCCAGATCTTCCCCACCTCCTTCTGAAGATGTAGTTAGTGCAGTATATTCTTCTGTGATTTTACTTTAAAAAAAACCCCAAACCTTCCTACTGGAAAAATCACATGATATTCACTGTCTCTTAGGCACAGGTTTTATATTTTCTCCATTTAGGCATTTTATACTTTTTTAGTTTTAATCCAAAATGAAAGTTACACAGCTGAAAAATAAAGAAGCTTTTTTTTTTTTTCCCCCTAAGAAGAGGAGAAATGAGACTGTAAATTTTGTTTAAGGAAAGCCAGAAAAAACAGACTCCTGTTTCAACAATATTAGCAGCTCTGCTTCCTACTGGCTAGCGTCTGGAAAACATCACTGCTCACCATATCTCTTAATAGCCTGCTATAAAATTACTGTTGTAGCAAACAACGTGAGACAAGAAAGGGATTTTCACACTGCACAACATAGAGAATATGTTTATCCTGCAGGCAATCAAACTACTAGATTTCACCCTAAAATAAGTCCTAGGTATGAAAATATCCAGAAACACTGCAAGTAAGATACCTCATAATATTATGCCAATAGAAATATCTTTTTCTTCAACGTCCATTTCAGAATATGCTAAACTTCTTGCATGGTTTTATTTAATACAGGTAAATAAAATCTTTGTGCATTTGGCTATCAGATTTTAAGGTGCTATTCGCACATTCATAGCAGCCCAGGAAACATTATTTGAGGACTTTCACATTTGACTCCTCTCAGATTACAACCAGGAGGGGTTTAAGCAGATTAAAGAAGTGGCCTTTATAAACTGGTACTTCAATGACCTCCTTCTTGATACCTCTTTTTCTTGAGTGATTTATTCATCAGCTGCCTGTGGATGTGATGCTCTCAGACAGAGTGCAGTAAACTATAAAGCTTTTATCTAAAAGGTACAGCTGCAAGTAGCAGGTCTGAAAGCATTAGGTCTGACATGAGTTAGGCTGTGCACTCACAAGTCCTCTGGAGGCAGAAGACTGGCTCTGCACAGCAAGTGCTGTGCGTGTGGCACATCAGACCTATTGCAAGTGGAGTGTATGGCTGAGAACCATGAGGCAACTTTCAAGACATGCCAGTATCACTGCACTCTGGCACCGCATACCGGAGTAGAATTGTTCTAGGCATGTACAGTAACCATTTTCTGGGACTTCCAGATACCTGCTAAGTCTGTTCCCAGAGGAGGAAGCCATAGATAAACATAATCAGGATGCAAATAGATGTCTTGATTAATAAATATGCCAGAGAATTTTGCAAACGACTTGTGGATAACTTGCAAGCAGCAGAAGAAATATATCATGAGCAAAGTGGAATGATTTGGTTTGCCTAAATTTAATGCTGACCTAGGGGGTCTATATGAGAATTTCAGCTCCCTAGTTTTAGTTTTCCTTATGGGCAGTGATGAAAGAGACAGATACTTCTGCAGCGGGGGAATGCCTTTTTCACCTCAGGTCAAGGGCTTTGATTGAAGGCTGCCATGCAAAAGACCCCGAATCTTCTTTGACTGGCACTAACACTTTGGAGTCTGGACATGAGCTGGAAAAGAATGCAGCCAGCAGAAACTTGCCAACAGAGCCACTTTGATAGTTTTGCTTTGTGGTTTGAGTGCTGTGTGGAGCTGTTAGTTATAGGCTGAAATTCACCAGTCAGTCTGCCTGCTCAGAAACACATATAGAATCAAAATTACAAGGGAAACAGAAGAAAAAAAAAAATCCTAAAAGTGTTGACACTTTGAGAAACTGGTTTTGGCCACAGCTAGCAACATTTTATGGACACACCAGGGATTCTAGACAGAACACTAAATCAGTGCCAGCTCATTTGCTTTGGGTCAGTGCCATCTGAGACTGCTAGAATTTGGATTTGTCAGTGTGTTACTCTTTTTTTTAATTTTTTTTTTTTAATTAGCTAAGAAGTTATGTGTGTCTTCTTCTGTCTTCTTTCTGAATATTTTTCCCATTCTATGTGAGACCGATGGCATATTTTTCTTCAAATATTTGTAAATCTGGCAGCTATGAGAAAGAAAATTACATCTGCACAGCTGTGCCATAATCTATACTATGGTTCTGGTCTTTTTTTTCTTTTTTTTTTTTTTTTTACAGATTTTTCTTGGATTATTCTTAATTCCTGCTTTTCAAAGAAATTAATATATCTAGAGGTGTCTTATCTGATACACTTAAATTCACATTGCATCTCTGATATTAACTAATGTTCACACAACGCGTTTCTATCAAGAATCCCCAAATATTCAACAATCAGGTTCAACAATATTATGCCTGATTCTCTGCAGTGATGACTATCTCAGACAGGAGGCCTTTACTGGTAGTGGGATACCAAGTTATAGTTCATGAAATGCAGCTCAACATGGGCTGCTCTTTGGTGTTCCATGTACATGGGAGCGTATAATCCAGTAGGAGTTGGATACAGGCAAAAAAATAAACTTGTACATTGACCAACTAATGTCAAGGTGAGGTAGATTAATGGCTTCATGAGGCTTACAATGCATACTCCAATATGCATTTTATTTCAGCATCTCAGTTTAATGCAGAAGTTTAATTATCTCTTTATTATTGTTCATAAAAAATTCTGCTGTAAATCCCATGTGATTTCAGCATGAAAATTTCAGAATTTTCAGAATGAAAACATTCAAGTAATGTTTTTGTCTTCTCATGGAAAAGGAATCACAAAATTTTTAAAAAATCTCACCATGACCTCTGAGTGCCACTGCATTGTCTGTGATAAAGCTAGAAAATGATTTCTGTCAATAGTTTCCCTGAGTGAAATGTCAAATATTCTCATCCATGAAAAAAAAAAGAACACTTTCCTGTTCTCTTCGGCTGTTCTGAAGCAGTATTGAATAACTTAAGGACTGAGTAAGTGCTCTACTTTCAGAGTTTTCAGGTTGCTTAATCTTATTTACCTTAGTTTTTAGTTATGAGGCAAGTATTGCCAAGAATGACATTAACAAAAATAGTCATAACAGAAATTAGTTCTGGATTTTTCTTGTCAGATTTCTGGAAGCCTTGATCCTGTGAATAAATACCTGTGTATAATTTCACTTGGTTAAGTGGTCTTACTGAGCTCTGTGACTCTGCTTGCATAGGTCTGCAGTAGTCAAGCTCTGTATTTGAGTGATGTGTGGGAACTTCAGCCATGTAATTTTTTTTTGAGAGAGCCCAAGTTGTAAAAAATCTATGCAGCTTTAAATAAAGTGTGTTTTACTCTCAAAGGCTATTTTCTTACCCTTCAAGATAGTGACTTCACAGCAAACTTGTGAAGTCTGACAAAATTACAGTCAAGAGGAGCATGTCTCCAAGAGAAACATGAAAAGTTATTTAGAGTGATTTATGACAGAACTAGTATATTGTATGCAGTTTTGCAAAGAATGTAACTAATGAACAAATTGAGCTTCTGTGACTTTATATTATGACCTTTGAAAGAAATGAACAATCATACATCTGAATGTAGTAGATATGTTTTATATAACAACATGCAAAATATATTCTGGCTTTGCTATTTTCTCTTGCTTCCTTTCCATCATTTTAATGAATGTCCCTTACTTGGCACCCAGCCTAGTGCTGTCACAAGGAATTTGTGGAAAAGTGTGCCAATGACTAGTCCCTCCCACTGGAGATACTCTGCCCCATGATTAAGCATGACCTTCTCAAAAGATAGAGAAAGTGGGTGGAATTTTTCAGACAAATCACCATGGTATTTAGAGGGACTAAAATGTTGCATGTTAATGACACAATGCTTTGTAACAGAAAAAAAATGTATGCCTCTGATTCCTTTGAGGGATTGTTCTGCAATCCTTCTAACAGTTCCCATGTGCATATGCAGTCAGTAAGTTTAATTTATGACCCTTGTTACTTTCTAAATGTTTTATTAAGTTAGTGCTTAGCACTGACTCATAAACCTATAAAAGCTGAAAGTGGTAAACTGATTATTCACTGCACCTGCCCTCCAAATATGTGTTACTAATGAAAGCTGCTAATCAGCAGTCATGGTGCTAAAAGAGTGCTATACAAGCACTTGTAAAGTAAAGGCCTATCCTGTAAGCAAAGGCAAGGGAAAAGGAAGCAGATGCAGGAAGGAGCAAAATCAACAAAAATCTCTTGAAAGAGGAAAGGACTTACATGTTTCCTTGGCCATTGTACACCCATCTGGTGCTGCCAAGTCCCTCAAAGTCGGAAGCCCAATAATACAGGCATGCATTAATGTGCAAGATAAACAGCAAGTATCCAGTTGTTCGAATGACCCTATAAAAGTCAACAGATTCCTGTAAAACAACTTACATTTTTCCTTACTCTTAATAGAGAACCTGTTGCTTTTTTGGATCAACAATGTTTATGTTAAGCGTCCACTAAGTAGTTCCCCACCTGTATTGATTCTGAGAAACATATAGCTGGCAGTTACCTATTTCTCACATTTGTCCGAGGCCAAATAAATAACTTTCCTAGAAGGTTTGGCACAGGGTAATTTTTAAATTATGGTACTCTAAGGACTTTATAATCCACTTTATAATCCTTAACTGACTAAGAATATTTACAGAAATTTGAAACTATTATTAATGAGGCTAAAGGGTACAAATTAATGTATTTGCCAAACTCTGTTCAAGATAGGCTCTAGTCTTGTGAACCAAAGCCAGGAAATGTCTGAGGTCAGAAATAAACTGCTTTACAAGAGCTCTGCTAGGAAGCCTGCAGTAGATCCACTAAATAGTGTGATTTAGTGGCCATAGCAGGAGTAACAACATTCCCAGTTCTTATGCTTATGGCCAGTTCTTTGAACACCAGTGATGAACTAGTTAAGCATGAAACAGCTTTCTGTTTAATAGAACAATGTTCTCATTCCATATCCACTGTGAAGTGCATAGGGATCAAAAGAGAGATCTCCTGGATTTAGCTCTCCATTAAATATTCATATAGGCAAGGGATAAATAAGCAGGAAAAGTAGAGGACTTGGCTGGACACAGGGAGGCTGGTGCACGAGTTTATCTGCTACATCTAGAATTCCCTGCAGTGTACCATGCATAGTAACTGAATGAATGGGTTTAGGAAAATTTAATAAGATCTAAGTTAGGTCTATAAAGCTAAGTTAATGGGAGGTAATACCTCTGTGGCTGCTTCTGTATTATGTGTTCCTTCGATGGTTCTTCAGGTGCCATTGCATGCCTTACTCTGCCTTTCCATGCCACTGAGCAATATACCTACGTGTATCCTCCTCTAGGACACTGACAAATGAATGCTACGTCGCTGTTTAAAAGTTGGTATGCTTTCAGGACAGCTCTGCTTAGGGTTGCAAGCTATTGAGAACAGCAGATAGCTGATGTCATCTAGTAATATTGCAATATTGACAGTGCTGTGTCTTGTGCACAAGTTGAATCCATGTGAATGGACTCCTGAGGTTCTGGAAGCCTTCGCCAAAATATACATTGTATTTTTCTAAGCACAGGTCAAATCCACAACAGCAGGTAGATAAAATGTAGTAACTTCTGCTAGCTCTATTCCCAGAAACTCAAACCAATGAGTTTGAGAAGAGAATCTACGCAGGCATATACACTTGCTGTGTAGAAGTTTAATTTGACATTATTGAGTTAATTTGTGCCTTATTGCTCAAATAGCAACCATACCAGGATCTCAGAACAAAGCAATGTTGTTACATGCAAATGAAATGCAAGAGTTTGCACAAATAGCCCATCTTTTTTATATTTTTCATCTCCCATTTGTACTCTTCTTCTGTGTAACTACCTCTCTTCTCCCAACCTAAAGTAACTGTTCTGTAGCTCTTTTACTAGAGAAACCTCATTCTGCTACTTCTGGTCAGTTCTTGGCAGGAGCCTCTGTTGGGTGAACATTTTTCCTGAATCAGGCCAGCTGAACCGAGCTAGGTTTCATATGTGAGTGAAGTTTTACATTTAGTATTTTAACGATTACATCAAAACCCCAGGTATTTTAAAAAATCTTCAACTGCACAGTTAAAGATGTATTACATTCCATCCAGTGCTTCACTGACAACTCATGAAATCAAGTGAAATGCATTCTGTGGCAAGCTCTGCATGGTACAAGAGTTAACAAGCACATACCTGTAGATGTACGCTTTGTCCAGAACAGCTTCCAAGCGATCATTAAACTCAAAGAATGTATTATGCTGAATAGTAAACAAATGAAAGTAGTTCAATCACTATACTTCACTACACAACTTTTTACGATAGAACTGACATTAGCTTGCATACCTATTTTAAAAATAACGGATTCTTCAGCAGTGTTACTCTCTTTAAACATTTAACTAAAAGGTGAACTGCAAAGCAAAGATAAGAATTGAGTTTAACCTTTTTTCGAGTGTTGAGTGTCCCATTAATCTGAGTATAGAAATAACCTTGCTGTTTAGGTCAGACTGCTGCATATGAATAATTTCTGCTTCCTTAAACATATGTGATTGCTTGGGCAACTTTATCAGAGAGAATTACATACATAAAAATCCCTTTTTTCTCTTTCTGATATTAAAAAAAAATCTCCAGTAAGTGAACATATGTACCAATAACCATATACTAGAGGATTCCATGTAGTATCTATCAATTACTGCTGTATGAAATTCTTCCTGTTAACTAAGGTAGCTTTTTCCTTTGTTTTTATCCGGTACATATCTGTTTGCCTAACATGAGTTACTGTTTAACTGCTCATTCTTTCATATTGTTTTAGTTCTGATTTATGGAATTCAAAAGTTTTGTTGACAACTGAAGAGCACCCTCATTTCATTCTCAGAGTTGTTGTTTCTCCCCCCAGCTTTAAATGAAGGCCAGTTCTTTGTCAGCATACTGGGTGAAGTGGAAGGTATTGGGCTGCAGAGTGGCCTGCCAGGTGCCATGAAATGCAGGGAGAGGGCTGTTGTCTAATCCCTTCTCAGTCCCTTCATTGCACAGCTCCACATATCTTTGGACTTGACAAAAAAAGTGGGTTTATGCCTATTAAATATGCCGTGTATAATTTCTGTTGTCCTTAGAATTCCCTCCTTTGCTTTTAAACACCTGACATTACCAACAGTAGGGGAAAATACTTTGTAATTAATTAGTGATGTTAAATTGTTATTATTTTTTATCTTTTAAAACTAAACTGGCAATTTAAGGTTAATGTAACTTAAGTAATGGAAACAGCCTTAACCCCAAAACATGTTTTGAATGTAAAGAATAATAAGGTCATAAGAAAAATAAGAGAATAAGACTTCATTTTGCTAGACTCGATCTTGTATTTTTTGTTGCTTTGTTTACTGATGTTATATCTTGTCCTGAAGATATTTTCCAGTTTCTATATTTTGTACTCCTAAATATTACAAACAAGTCTCAATTGGATTCTAAAAACATTTGTGTGTGGCTAGCCATCCATCACTAACAAAGGTCTTACCTTTAGCATCTTATTTGCTCTAAATGCTGGGTTACATCCAAAGAAGAAATATAAAACATCAAACGGCAATACCGATACCACATCGAGCTGTTGAGCAGAGAGGCAATTTTAAACTTCAGAATAATCATAATGTATTTACTTGCTGTAAAAAGTCTGCTTAGATTGACTCATGATTGAGTATAATATTTGAACAGGCAACATGCTAAGCCCATAACTTCCCAAGTACTAACAGGCAAGATTATCTCTTTGGAAACACCAACAGCTTTGCTTTGCCCTGCTTTTACGTCAACTGTGCCTGAAATTTTAATGTTTTATGGGGATTATTAACAGTAGCTCTAATTTGATTATGAATACATTCTGTTATTTATTACAACAATTATACAAACAATTGTAGCATATACTAAAATGTTAGATGTGTGGCTGGTGAGTGGAGGTAGGGAGAGCACTCCACAAGCACTTCTAAGAAGTCCTACAGCTTTTAAAACCAGGCTGATGCAGCCTGGGGGAGCAGGATGAATTTGGCTCCTTGCCTGCAGAAGCTGTATGTTCCAAACAACAGATTCATCATAGGATGATGTGTGCTGCTTTTGTTTGTTTTTGTTTTGTTTTGTTTGTTTATTTATTTGTTTTTGTTTTTGTTGTTTTTGGTTTTGTTTTTGTTTTTAAATAGATATTGTTTGTTGCTTCTTCCCATATCGCTAAGATTTTCAGCATCTCCCTGCAGTCCATCAACTCGGTGTTTACTCTTTTTATCTGTCTACTTTATTCTTTTCAAGAGAAAAGAATTGTGGAGAGAAGGAAGGCTGTGGCAAACGTGCCTTTGCCTTTTTAAAGCTCCTGTGGTGCCCTGCTCCGTTACTGCTATCATCTGGGAACAAGAGAAGGATGTGGAACCATCGGCTTCATCTCACTGTAATCAGAAACGCCTTTTCCCTGAGGGACGCAAACAGCATTGGCAGCAGCTAGCCTGCAGCCCTCACTTTTTATTCCATGGAAGTAAGATGCAGTTACTACCTGAACACTGTGAAAAGAACAAACCAAACAAAAAAAATTGATTAAGGAGAGGACAAACAGCCTTTTCCTCTCTCCTTCTTTACAGACATGCCTAAGAGGAAGCAAAATTTGGTCAGAAGTGCTTTCATATCAGTAACTGTTAATTAGTACTTAAACATATGACAAATTCCCAGATTATATCTACATCTTTCATGTGTTGAGAACACTCTACTCTCAGTTTCTGCAGAAATCAAGAGTTCTAAATGTACCACAAGTGTGAACTTACAATAAGGCCATACATATCCAATTAGTTCTCTTGCTGTAGGTTTGACTGTGTCCTGCTCACTTGCCTGTATAATGTCTATCCTGCACTTTTGACTAGCTTAATCTCAAGTATGAAAGTAGTGATACCATGGTCACTGAGACACATTTCACTCAGAAACAAGGCAGGTGCAAAAATATTTACGGGAGAGGAGGGGGTAATAACTGAGATTTCAGACATGTGGGTTCAGTGTCACAGAGCTGTATCTTTATCAGGAATTCAATAGACTACGTATCCTCTGTTGGCAAAACAATACTTAAGAACAAAATGAACAATATTCCTAAATCAAATATACCTTTGCTTTTACAAAATTCAAAGAGCATCAAAACTCTTAGTTTTAATTTTTTATTTGTGCGAGTGATGACCATGAGGTATACACCATGAGCTATACCATGAGTTACTTCATAAGAATTCACCAAATAAAGTTATCACATAACTTCAGGCCTTCTTATTGTGCTTAATTGGTATCTGGCAAACTCGGATATTATCTTTCACTCTGTGTAACCTTGCACAAATCCATCAAACCTGAATTTTATTAATTCTATTTTATGAATTTATTTTTGAGAATTAACATTGATAATTGCATTTATTGTTATTCCGCTTTACAGTTAAACACTATTTATGAAGATGGCAATCTTCAGCTGGTGAACACTGACGTGCCATCAAGCCAATGCTTGAGAACAGTGATGTTCTTAAGCCAATGGTGATTTTCAGTGAATGAAAAAAAAAATCCTATGAAATCCCACAGCCAGAACTTACATGTTGACATCAGTAACACAAGGTCTGCTTACCCGAAACTTCACTGTACTGTAGTAGAATTTCTTCATTTCTACTTTGTCCGACTACAGTGATAATGAAAGAAGAAAAAGGCATAGTCAAGAACAGAATGTCAAAAATGAGCCTCTGCTACTCAACAATAACAATGTCTCTTTGATAGCAGGGATGATGGCAGTTATATTAATGATGGTCCAAAAGTATGGATGGAGAAATATCTGTAGGAAGAAGTAGCATTTTTATTAGATCAGTTTACAATAGAACAGATTTTATTAAAGCTACCTGAAAAAATCAGGTTTGGATTTTGGGTGATTTTTTCCAAGTCTGGAAGAAAACTATTGGTCTAGCAAAGAACATGAGATTTTTCCCAAAAATCTTCCCTCTCAAGATGCCTGTACCAGCTGGTGCTTGACCAAACCCCCTTCAATTTCAGGGCCAAAACCTCCATTTTACTTCAATGGTTCTAAGAAAAATGAAAAGAGTATTTGTGACGGTGCTGCACAAAATTAGCTCTTTGAACGCTAGCATTAACATGCTTGCATTATTAGCATTATAATAATCACACTGCATTCATTAAAAATGATTAGCTATTTATTTTCAAATTGCTCTCCATGGGAACTGATGCTAATACCTTAATAAGAAAGGGTAATCACAAGCTTCTAACGAAAGATATCTATTATTATACTTTCTGGTTTTATATCAAGGATACTTTAAGTACCTTTAAAATCTTAAGGATATTTCCAAGCCAACTTTTCACTATTATCAGTTTAAGCATTAAACTAAATGCAGGAGATCAGGTAGTAGATGATCTCTTCACACACTAAAATCTATGAATTGTGCAAATAGCTTCAAAGGAAAGTTTTCTGCATTACAGTTTTAACCTTGTTCATGAAACTTGGATTTTGTAGGATTTAGACAAGATTGCCAGTTACTCAGTGTCTTGGCATGGAAACTGACATTATACTGCATGGCATTTAATATCTCTCCAAGCTGTATTTGCACAGTTTTACCTGAGATTCCTTGGTAAATGTATCAGTAATATCTTTTATGCCCAATGTATAAAATACTATGTAAAAGCACTGAACTAAAACTAGTTCCAAATGACATTTTAAGATATATAATTTTGAATTTTCTATCTGTTGGGCACAGTAGTGTCACAATGAAGTTTTCTAAACTATTTTTTTTTTCTGCATAGGGTTTCCTTCTATAAAAATTAAAAGACTCAAAACTGCTGAAGATTTTAAAGGAAGGTTAATGTTCTAGCTGCCTTTTTGATATGTTAAGGGCACGCTTTTGCCTCTCCTCAGATACTTGCTTGGAGTTTTCTTTTGCATTTTTCTATAAAAACATAACACAAAAGTAGTACTAAAAAGTGAAATTGAATGTACTTATTTTCCTAAAATAAAATTGTTCAAATTATTTTCTAAGCAGCCTGAAATTACATGGATTTGTTCTGATTTTGGCAGAGTCCCCACAATCTCACAGTCTGTAACAAAACCTATGTATTCTGTCCAGCCCTAGCTGAATATGTCTTGTCTTCAACTATGATTCTTGCATAAGGTGAATAGAAAGCTGAGAGTTCCAGACAAACATACAAACGTGTACGTGTATGAGTACATAGTTATACAATCACTGGTTCCAGTGAAACTGCACCAGTTTACTCCTGGTGAGAAAGTGCCTAATGCCTGTTTGACTGCTCTCATCTGTAACTTTCAAATAGGTTGTTGTTGTTGTTGTTGTTGTTTTTCTTTTATTTTATTTTTAAAGAATGTAGACAATGGACATTTCCTTCTTTCAGATAAGATAGTGGAAGGTCAGTGAAGAAGAACATAGGTATCCTCTGATGAATAAAAAAGTTAAATAATTTGACATAACAGCAAAAAATGTGTCAGATTTAAGGGAATTTCTATAATGTACTTAACACACAACTACTACCAGTGGAAATCCCATTTCCAATACTTACTATTATATCTCCACCTCTTATAAATTGCACTCGGGGCTGGAAAATCAGCAAGTCACACAGGTAGCAGATATCACAAATTATGTCTATGATGATCCAATATATTGTATTACTTGGGGTTTGATACGGGAACACAAAGCGGAGGGGAATAAACCAGCAATTCCAGTTATAGGCGATTGTCACGAGCATGAGCCATGCCACGTAACGGTGATCTGAAAGCAAAAACATTGAAGTCACAGGCAGGAACTCAGTGATTTTTGTTTCCTCATTGTTCTAGACACATTCACTCTACTGAAGCCTCTGGGAATGTTTCTGCCCAGAGGAACCTACCATTCTACCTTTTTTGTTTTTATTTTCAGTGGCACAGGGTGCCAAAATGATACAGGTTGGAACTAGGAGTCACACAAAGAAATTGCAAAAGAGAAGAAAGATGAGTTTATGAGAGCATATAGAATTAAATGCATCTGAAGAAACTCAGTACATTTTGCTCATTGCTGGTGCATGTAATAACCTATAAAATAATTACTTGGCCCAAATTGTAGATCAAGAATCAGAAGACTTGGGTTTTGATTGTGGTTGGTTTTCATGCCTGCTTTGTGCATACCACAAAACAACTTTAAAACTGTTGCCACATTTTATGTCTTTTTCCTGTTTAGAAAAAATGTTCTATAGCACATGATCTATGTGTCTCTCTGAGTTGCAGGTTGGAACATGGATCTTACGGTGCTTCATGTGTGCTATGTAATACTAGGTCACTTCAAAACACCTTTACCCCACTCTATTGCAGAGCTTCTAATTTACCTGTGTATGAGTCTATGCTGTCTGGTATCTTCAGGTACTCCAGATATTTCTTCAGTGGAGGTTTTTTGAATTTACAGCACAGCATATTGCAGTAATGATCCTCCTCTGGCTTTGCTTCTGCATCCTCTTTCTTTTCTTCTTTTTTCTCTTCTTTTGGTGGGGGTGGAGGCTTCTTCTTTGATGGTGCTACTCACATAGAATGCCACAAAAGATGACATTTTATTAATGATTGAATTACTACACTGTCCTTGGACAGTGCCCACACCTAATGCCATAAATAAGGCCGATGAGAAATAAGGGAATTCATTATTCAGCGTTCATTAATGCAACGACATGTTGCTCTCTACAGGACCGTTGCAAATAGTGTATGCAGTTAGGATGGAGATAAGAAAAGACATCTGTGCCATGGGATGATATCTCGTCTCTCCTGGGACCTTATATGCAAGTTGCAGCAGGCAAAACTAATGGGAAGCCAATGATTTTCTATATTTCTGGGGTTACAAAAGTCTTGTGGTACTCCCTTGAGCCCAGTTCTTCCATCTTTGGTCTGGATAATTTTGTCCATACATTTGTCCCATTACTTCTGGTGGCTTTACCTCTGAGTAGGTAAAGACTAGGTAGGTACCTAGTCTTAGCAGTAAATTGGCTAACTGTATCTGTAATGAATTAGGAGATAAAAATTTTAAGTTCTACAAAGAGAACTAAAGATGTAAATGACCAAAGAAACAGTTTTTAATAAAGGAATTCCTTTATCGTTTATAATACTTCAGACATTATTTTTTACATCTGTTTAAAAAACAGGTAAGCAACAAGTAGGTTCTAAAGAATTTCAGAATATAAATTCACCAGACTAAATTCTTTGGAAAAGGAAAAAAAAAAAAAGTCACACTTTCCTCTGAAGAAGAAAAACATCGTATTTGTTTTATGGTTTGTATTTTGTCAAAAGTCAATGTTTAACTAATTTCAGATGAATTTGCTCCATTTGAAGTAGGTACTTAGAGTCTTCTGTGTTTGGAATATTGCTCCATGGATTTTATTTACTTTTTAAATTTACTTTATTTGTTTATTTTGTAATTTACTTTTACGCAGCAGCTCTAATTTCATAGTGACCAACTACTCATATTTCTTACAAAAGTCAAAAGATTTCCCATACTTTTCAGATTTATCTCCCTGAATAAACATATCTGAGAGCTCTTTTAAAATACAGAAAACTGCTTGAGAAGGATGATTCTTGTCAAGGATTCAATGTCAAGGATGACATTGTCTGATTTTTTTTTTTCCCAGGTTCTGCAGTGATGGGGTTCAAAGGGAGTTCATACCTAAGGACCTAGCTTACTGTAGCTAGTATGGATAAACTGACTTCAGAAGGCACAAACTGATCCATTTAATTGGGTAAACACATTATATTCACTTGAAAATTTTGTCAAATTATTTTCTGTTCCCACAAACTAGTTTTCATTTTTAAGCTCAGTAAATGCACAGCTATTTCTTGAGTCACTTACAAGATGTGGGACTGCCTTCAGGGGAGGACAGCACTGGATCTTTCAGCTTTTCTTTATAGACTTCTGCCCTTTCCCGCAGTTTTTTGACAATTTCTTGAAGCTGGGCTGCAGCATACTCGTTAGTTTGGAAATCTGAAGGTGCTGGCTTCTGTGTGCTAGTTAAAATGAAGGAAAAAAGCTTAATATACTCAAAAGCAATGGAAGGAAACAGTGCTAATTCTACTTCTGAGCAGGAGTCAGACCTTTATTTGCCACTGTGCTTATTCATGTCACTTAATTCACATAAGTGGACATCTAAGTTAACTGCCCTTGGTTCCTGCTTATGCCACCAGCAGTTTACCCAATATTTCAAGCAGAGGAGGTTGGGTACCCTGTGCTCTGTGTAGTCCACTACACTAGTGACTTCCCACTGCTGCTTTTCACCGGGTTCTACTGTGGCTATGTAAGACCTAAAGCTTATCCTTTGTATTCACTAAGATACAAGGCATGGTCTTCCTACCCATGCACAAAAATTTGCTCATTATTATGTGGCAGTATCCTAATGATGACAAGACGTAACTGAGTTTATGATGTGACTGACTGATGTGTAGGTGGGGAGGAGAGACAATACTTCATGCTTCCTAATGTTGGGAAAACTGATTTAATCTGAGTTTTGTTATGGGTATTAGCTAACATGAGATTAAAATGTTTTACTAAGTGGAAACAAAACACTGGTGTTCTTGCTGAAGTTCCTTCCACTCTTACTTTCCAATAAGAGTTACTCAGGGTCATAGTAACACAGATGATATTCCAGCACTCACAGCATTTCTTCAAACCTGAGAACTGTTGATTTTCAGACACCTGCAAACTCACATTCCGTACTGAAATGATTGCTTTTAATAAGATCTGTGCATGCTCAGCAGTTGATTAGAAAATCTAGGTGAAAGTGAAAGTCTTTGTCAATTTCTTTGGGTTTATTCATACTTTCATCCTCAATTACTTGCTACTGACTGGCTATGCACATGAAGACTGTTTTGGAATGCCACCCAGCTGGCAGCTGGGTCATGCATTTGGACTTCCTTCTATGTGGAGACCAAGACAGGATTTCTTCTGCATCCTAGACTCAACACTTCTCAGGTGGTGTCACATGCTGGTGTCAGAGCTGTTTGGAAATGGGCAGCTCAAGGCTCCCTCCCACACAGGTCACAGGTGCCACCCTTTGTACTGAAACCCTGCCAGTTATGCTCAATACAGGGAACACATCAGGGAATTGTTCTTTCTTTCTTAACAGTTTTTCATCTCCATCCCAAATATCTCAGGGTATTTGCAGCAATACAAGAGGCAGGTAAGAGTGAAGCGTGCCTGAAATTTCCAGTTCTTGAGATGACCTTCCCAAAGGTGAGTAGAAGGAAAGTGGTAACACCTTGGGTAGGAAAGAAATGAAAAACACTACAAAGTGGTCTTTGAATAAACACCATGTCTCCTCAATCCCTACACCTAGTTTGAAGTTCCTAACAGAAGGAGCTGTAACTAAAAAAGGACAGTGTCAGAGTGGGATGTGTGTGGTTTTTTGAGAAGCAGAGTTTTCTGGAAATACAACACAGTGCCCAAGGAAGTATGACTTAAGGATGTGAAAATCCTTCAGCAATAAAATCATTGGATAAAGTGTAGATAAGCTGTTAAAAGCAGAAGAAATTGAAGCTTGAAAGTATGTGCTTATCATTCCTCTAATTTAAGTCTTCTGTAGTGTCTATTTTTTAAAACTCCCCAGACAGGGGATTAATCAGTTCTGATATACTTTGTAATCTCATCACAGTTCCTTTTGTGTCACATATTCCCTTTGCTCAGGCCATCTGCAGTGTAATGAAATCCTTTCTTGTTTTGAGCTAACATGTCACAATTAGTTTTTCAGCTGCTATGTAAAGAATTTAAAATAATTCTTACTATTTGCTGGTGCTGTATTTGCTTAGAGCATTTGCTGTCTTACAGTAAGAAACACTTACCATAAGGCTCATGCCAAAGGCCCATTCTATCTGCTTTCTACGACTAAGCTACAAACTGCATGGGATTTTTCTTATTATTTAATAGCCTTTCCAATAAAAATTAAAATCTCTTCTATCATGAATTTGTGGCTTTATTATTGCAATGTAGCCTAAAGGAACTATGTTATTATTTGGTAGAATGGATTAGAAACTATGTGAACTTGTTTAAAGTTACTTGCCCCACAGTTGATAAGAAATGGATTTTCCTTGCCCTACTTCTCATTTTTATTTGCATTATCTCCTCCTCTATTATTTTCAAGTAACAAAATGCTTTTACTTTAATTTTTTTCTCATTAATATATGGCTACATGTTGAAGTGGCTACTTCTAATTTGAAGATACATATTGTATATGTACATTGTGTGGAGGTACACCTTATTGTAGCTAATGAAGCCCATAAAAACTTGGCTAAATCACTTTTAATAAAATTTGCTATCTCTTGAATTAAGTGGTGCTAGGATTTATGTCTTATCTGATATGTTATTCTTTAAGAAAATTTGTCTCTGACCTTTACATACACTGAATTGCTATAGTTGGAAAAGAACTTTTAAGACCATCGTGTCCAACCACTATCTATCTCTACCACTTCTACACCATACCCCTGAGCACCCCATCTAGATGGCTTCTAAATACATCCAGGGATAGTGATTCAACGACCTCCCTGGGGACCCTGGTCCAGTCCTTGATCACCCTTTCGGTGTAGATGTTTTTCCTAATGTCTGAGCTAGACCTCCCCTGGCATAACTTCATACCATTGTCTCTTGTCCTGTCAGCTGTGGCATGTAAGAAGAAGACCACACCTGCCTCCCTATAGCCTCCTTTCTGTAGTTGTAGATAGCAATAAGGTCACCCCTCAACCAGGTCTATATTAGTTACTACACCATGTGGTCCTTTACAGAGCAGAAATGTTTATTCCCTGTAAAAGGAATAATTTCACATGGCCTAGGAAATCCAAAAGTCAGGACCACAACTCACGTACCCTGCACACAGTTTTGTTATTACCTCAAGTGTATTTTTATTGAGGTAAATAGCAACATATGTAACAAAAAAAAAATAAATAATGTCATTGTCATATGGTTTTAATTTGTAGGTTTTATCTTCTAAACTTGTGGGTTTAGATTTGTTTGTTTAGGGAATAAAATTACAGTGCCTTAACTCTCCCCATGCCAAGAGATGATTTAGATATCTAGAGCATAGTGGAAGAAAATTACTTTGAAAGGATAGGCCATGAAAATACAGCGTTGAGTGTGCTAATGTATGTAGCATCTGTTATGTACTGTGTCTTGGAGGTTTTCTGTGTGAAGAGTTCAAGCAAAATAGGGATCAAGAAATGCAGTAGGTTATTTCAGAATAAATCAAATTTACTATTTTCTAAGTTGCAACCTAGAGTTTAATCCTTTTTGCAATTTTGGCCGTGAACACAAAATCCCTGAGTTTAACTCCATCTTTTATCTACCAAGTGACCTGTGGGAAAGTGTATTTCATAAATGTATGCTGCTGCATGAAAAAAATCCATACCACTTTTTGCTGATTTCAGTTATAACCCTTCTTTTTGCTGTACTTAAGAAACTCTCTCATATCTACCTGGAAATAAAATTCTTGATCTTACAAAAGAACTTCTAATGTTTTTACTCAGCACTGACATTATGATTTATAGTATTTACAACCCTTGTATTGAAAAAAAAAGTATTTGTTGTCTTTAATAAATTATGGAGAGTATCTAATTCGAATAATTTTCAGAAGGAAATGACAATGCATAACTATACAAATGTCCACAAAGCATGATGGTATAGCTGAAAAAAATTTCAGTGATAGAAAAATGTAGTTCAAGGCATCATGAAAGGTATTCATTCAAAAACACATCCTCAATTTGTACTGACAATCCCAGTAATCCCGGTGTGGGTAATGCTATAGAAAGATCAGAACCCTCTACCTGTCCCGGTTCCAAGCCTAAGCTCACACATCCTATATGACTAGGAAATCTACTGTTTCTGTAACAGGAAAACAGTCATCTGCTTGCAACAGGAACAGAGGTATTCCAGGAAGAATATTCTATTCTGATTATGTTCCCTTTTCAGTCAGTAGAAGGCATCTCTGAGAAGAGGTTCAGCATGGTAGATAGGTTTCTGCTCTGAATTGCCTGTGAAAGGAGCCTATCCTTCTCCTTCACCTGCACAGGAAGATGATGGATTTTTAGGAGTAAGCTTTAATATAACGTCAGTATAAAATGTAGTAGTGTGCTAATAATGTTTGATAGGATATTGAATTTGAAAGATTAAGTAGGACCAATTCCTATATGGGAAGAATTCAATTATTTAGACTAATAGAAATGAGACAAATCTAATGCTGCATAATGTAGACATGCATTTAGAAACAAATTGCAACAATTTCTTTTGTAAATGGTGGCATCATCAATCACAGCTGACAAAAAGAAAATTATTCAGCTGTTACAGTCAACAACAGTTGACTATGAGCCATATGAGCCTATAAGCCATGCTGTAATCTGGCTATGAAAAACACACTGGTGCAAATGTAAGCCTAGAATTCTTCTGACATATTGCCAGTGAAGGAAGCATTAATATATGAGCCTATACTGAGAGTTATTCTGTCCAGCTGTACCCAAAAGGTGAAAAAAAACCCTCTGAAACTGGATAAAGTCTCTTAGAATGACCAAGACTACTGGGATTCTGGTTTTGAAAAGGACAGCAAAACAGATTGAGAGGCTTTGATAGAGAACCATATAGGGAAGAGAGGTATTTGAGCTGAGGAACAGTATTGTAATAAGAATAAATGTGAACAGAAACACCATGAATTAGTATGTATTAAAGGTGTGAAGAAAGCTTTTAAAGACTGGGATTCTAGATAGTCACCTGATATGAGTGAGGAGCAGTTGAAATCAGCATGACAGACTTCAAAATTATATTACCTAAGAACATGAAAACTGTTGTAGGCAGTTATTTGAAAAAATGTAAAAGAATGTATGCAGTTTGACAGGAAGTCCTTTTTAGCAAACCAACTTAAAATATATAAAGATTTGAAAAATGAATGAGTGGCTTGGGTAAGTACCACCGTCTCCACTACTCCCAAGAATCTCAACAGATCAAGTGCCAAGAAAGTTAGTTTCTAGGATAAATA